CTATGTGTACCGCGTGGTTCTTGCTGGCGAGACGGTAGCGCGGGACAGTGGGTGGACACACCCTCACGGTCCTGACTTCCTTGCTCATGTTCTCCCTCCTTCTGCTCTTCATCTGGACCTTGGGAGCTCAGTCCAGTGCTCCAATGTGGGTCTCTGTCTCTACCTCCATCCATCGTCAGATGAAGGTTCTATGGTGATATGCAAGATATTCATCAGTGTGGCTATGGGATAAGGTCAGTTCAGGCACCCTCTCCTATGCTGCCCAAGGAACAAGCTAGGGACATCTCCTTGGACACCTGGGAACCCCTCTAGAGTCAAGTCTCTTGCCAACCCTAAAATGTCTCCTTTAATTAAGATATCTACTTTTTCTGCTTCCATATCCACTCTTCCTCCATCTCAACCATCCCATTCCCCCAAGCTCTCCCCAATCCTCTCCTTCTAAAATTATGGAGCGCTTCACGACTTTGCGTGCCATCCTTGCGCAGGGGCCATGCTAATCTTCTCTGTATAGTTTTAGGATATTTTAGGATATGTGCTGCCGAGGCAAGCACTCTATTTTCATTCTTCTACATGTTGATATCCAGTTTTGCCCGCACCATTCGTTGAATATGCTTTTTGCTAAAACATTTCTTATGAGCAACTCTGTGATAATTTTTCACCTGCAGTTACAAAAGATACATGCAAAGTGTCAGGCTGCTGTCTATTTATTTTTCTTTCTTGTGGTTTACATGTTCAATTAGAAAGATGACTATAGTGGCATTTCAATTGCTTTTTTTAAAAAAAAAATAGATAAAGACTGCCTGAAGATCTGGGAGTAAAACAGTTCCACTGGTAAGCCTTACAGACCAGGTTATGGTAATATGCACCTTTAATCCCAGTAGCCACACTAGTTGCCATAGAAATTGGGTGGTGCATGCCTTTAATCCCAGTTGTGCACACGTTTAGTCCCTAAAATGTGGTGGTGGGGGAGACAGCTGTCAGGCACAGTCTCTTTCTGGAGGAAGGATTGCCATCTTCAGACTGAGATCGAGGTCAGAACCAGTAGCTGGCTGTTTTGCTTTTCGGATCTTCAGGTTGAACCCCAGTTTCTGACCCTGAGTTTTTATTAATTGTGCTATCAGATGGCAAATTTCTGCTAGCCCTGATAACTAAAGTCAAGGCCTTGGGCAATAAAAGAAAAAGATGAAAATGAGCATTTCTTGTGGGTCCTGTCTAAATCTAGAGCAGCATGAAATGCTTTAAAATTTATAGGAAGCTTATAAAAATGATAACAACCTGCAATAAATCAGAACAGGAAAAGAAAGTTCCAGATACCAACTAGAACTCCCCTGTTGGGTGGATCCAGAGAATGCTGTGCTACCCAGGTCACTAGAAGGCTACACCTGGTTAGAAAAAGCTTAGGTTAGGATTTAGCCACTAGTTCTCAAAAGTTCAACTTCCTCACTCTTATGAAAGGGTTTCTGCTATGAAGGGAACTCCTTTGTTGTTGACTGGCTCTTAGGATAGGGAAGGGATCCAGATCAACTTGAGTCTGCATGGAAATCTCACCTGTTGACATCTTTGCTTTCACTGGGCCTTCATTTAGGTCCTTCTCAGTCATCATTTTTTTTAATTAAAAAAAAACAGGTAATTTTTGTACCCTGTTTCAGCTCAGAGTCACAGTTTTGAAAGTTCAGTTTTAGCATTCAAGATTGTTTGGGACTACGAAGGCTGTAGCCAGACAGTCTAACTTTAAAAACTAGAAGGCGATACTCTAAATGAAAGTTACAATTCTTTCTTTCTTTTTGGTCTGTTTTTATGTAATGTGTGTTTACCTGTGTATGTTATATTTACCTATATCCTTATGCTTCTAAATTAGCATGGGACCAAATAAATGAGTACCTGTTAAAAAGCATAAACAAAATATTTTTCAAGATTTCTGTCTTTGGGGGAAAATATTACGTAGTTAAGATTCATTTGCTGTTCGTTTAATAGAAAGTAGTTGTGTCACGTGGTCAGTATCCATGTGAATTTATACAATGAAGGTGTAAAACTTTCATAAATAATTTAGACAGTTGTTAGGAATGTGCAAATTCAGTAAATGTAAATGGGATAGTTGCTGTAAGTGCATTTCTCTTAACTTTTACACTGTTTTATTATTTTGTGTGTATAGATATTTTACCTATATCCATCTGTGTACTACATATGTGCAATGCCCTTGGAGGTCATAAGAGGGTATCAGGTTCCCAAGGACTAGAATTACAGATGGTTGTGAGCCACCATGTGAGTACTGGTCATCAACTCAGGTCCGTGGGAAATCACCCAGCATTCTTAACACTGAGTCATCACTTCATCCCCGAATTTCTCATAACTTAAAAAATTCTTTTCAGTAACCTGAAATCTTGTGTTCTAACTATATTCATATAATATGTATATTAGACAAGGTTCAGTATTATTTATTACATGCCTAGATCAGCTTACCCAGTAGAGAGTTAAAATATCGCAGAAACTTAGAACTGGTCAAAGGGCAGAGAGTAAGAATCTGTCAAGTGCTCGGTCACAAATGGGACCTCTCTATCACAGCTCCTGCTCCCTCACAAGGTTCAGAGATCATTCTGGAAGAGGGGTAGAAAAGACTGTTAGCGCCAAAGGTCAGAAAGGACTGGGGAGGTAGAGTATCTCTCGGACCTGACAGGATGCTGCTCTCATACACTCACAGCGGCTGTGGTTGCCTGCACAAGACCTGCACAAGATCAAGCCAAGCAACATTCCAGCACGGATGGAGAGAACTTCGTGAGCCCTGACTTCTAACTGTGGCACCATTAGCAGTTGAAAGGTCCTTGGAAAGGGAGAGTCAGGCTTTTTTTTTTAAGAGTGTGACTGCTGGTGTACATGCTGACCATGGTTCCATGGATGGCCCCACATTCCTGAGTCAGTGGGCAGCACAAACTGGACTTGGCAGACTGTTTATAAAAAGGGGAATGAGTATGGGGTGATTCAAGAGGAACCAGAGAGTAGTGAAAGGTGAATATAATCAAAATTCATCACATGCATTTTGAAATTCTCCAAGAGTAAAATATTATGTAAAGAAATAAAAAGATGTGAGTTAAAGTATCACATCAAGTAATAAGTTAAAAGTCTATGTTCTTTGACATTTTGCTTTGATATGGCATTAAGGAAAACAATGCTAAATATTCTTGGATCCATTTAAAAAATTAAAATTATGTTTAAAAACAATCCTAAAAATGAGTAATTTGCATAATTAAGGATTGATTAAAAATATCAAAATGACACTAATTCTGTATGAAAGTTAAATAAATCATTGTATAAGGGAACTCACAAGATAATGAGTGCATTGGGGAAAAGTACAGTTACAAACTATGGAGGAGGGAGAGACAGTAATTTAGAATGAAGGGTGTGGACAAGTTGTGAAAAGTCTGAAAATGTAGTAAAGGGTTTAGAAAGGAATGAATCTCCATGGAAGAGGCAGTCATGCCCTGATGTTATCACATGTCAGTACCCCATTATCCAGAGAAAATCATACAAGTTAAAATTAGAAGTATTCCTAGCACTTCAAGACTGGTGGAACTGGACTTCTGGACATCCAAGGACCAATAGAGAGACCAAAGTCAATGGAGATAAGGGAGTGAGAAGACAGTTGATATTTTGGTCATCACCCTCCAAGGCCAGCTGGACAGAAGACATGGTAGAACCCTCTAAAGGGGGTTTGAAACTTCAATTAGACCATGGACCCTTTGATTAGAGGAATCATGAGGAAATGAGAGATTAGAAGCCAACTAGTGCACATTTTACAAAGGGTCACTGGAGAAGAACATGTCCCTATTGATCCTAAAGAAGTGTGTGGTTCGAGAGATTCTGACCCGTTCTAAGAGATAAACACCACTGGTCCAGAGACAAGACTGAAGGAGCCAAGAGGCTCATCATGCTGCCATCAAAGTCATCCTGGAGAAGCCTTGGATGAGCTAAAGCGAATCCTGATCTGTTTGGCCAGCTGTTCTTCCACAGTGACAGAAAGTAGAACACACCAGCTGCTGAGTGTTGTTCTTTCTATTGCTATTATCTGTCTCAGGATTTCTTTGTCTGAGTTGTTTGAAGTCATGCATTGAAGAAATCATGCCAGAGCCAAACTCTGGGCCTTGTGATGGAAGCTGCAGCTGATGCCTGTGGTTTGTGATCAGCCAAAGGTCACATAGGAATATAAACATCTCTATTTAGTATCTTTACTTGTTTTTTTTGCCAGTTTTTTCTCTAAGCTGTGGCCCATGATTTGTAATGATTCTTTTTTACTCTAGGATTAAATGAAGCAATGATGGACACCCAACTCTTCCTGTAGTTTTTATATAAACGTGGATAGAATCATAGAAGGAGGAGGGAGCCTCTGGTCTTTTAGAGAAATCAACCTGTCTGGATGATTAAACCCCAGTCATCTCAGCCCTGAATACCTAGAGCATGGCTAAAGAGCACTACCACGCATTACCTGCCTTTGTCCCTGAGAGACTCCTAATGGTCTCCCACTTCTTCTGCTCATTGGGCCTGTCTGGTCTCATTCCTAAGTGAAAGACTGGAGGCCATAATGGTACAAATGGTGATCACTCCAAGGCCATGTACAGCTAGACCTGCAACCAGGACATAACCAAGTCTTCATTACACTAGCAATGGACAATGTTTCACTCAATACTGGTTCTTTCAGTGACTCCCAAACTCAGGTTTAAGGTGTACAAGATAAACCATCGCCTTTAGCTCCTTCAGGAACAGGAATGTAACAAGAGGGAAGATCATCTATCCTAAGCCCTTGCTGGCTGCAAGGCCTTGCTAAGCTCCCTCCCACCTTAAACTTGATTGTCTCAAAGAACAGGATGCTTAAGGGTCAACAGTTTATCTTCAGGCATGCTGGGCAAAACTAGCTGGATCCAAGATGGCTGCTTGAGTGTCTGTGAGACAACCTCTTAGCTTCACTATATCCCCTCTCAGGTGCTAAGTGACACCTCCAGGGTCATGGCTGTTGACAACTTTCACAATGATGACTGGGAAGATCATGAAAAGTGAGGAAGAGAGTTGTATCCAAATTCCTGGGAAATCTCAACTCATTCCAGGAAAGCCATGAATATTACCCTTTATGTGTATATTCTTCCGCTTTATTTATTTTACTGTATGTCTGTAACCTTTCAACCCCAATAGGTGAAGATATTGATTCTATTGTCTCTATTCCTTTTCTACTTTTAGCCAAAAATGAACATCCCCTTTGTTGCTTTCTCAATACTGGGTATTGATTCCAGAGGGGAAAATAGACATGTTTTGTGTCCTTTACAAGAGTTGCTATGGTCATAGTATCTCTTCACAGCAAAAGAAACAAATCTTCATTAGAGTTACTACTAATACCCACACAACAAAGTCTATACTAGGGTGTTATGAGATTTCCTCTGCCAATAGAATAAATAAAAAAATTTGTCACTTTAGCCTCAGGCAGAGTGTTTGGACAAGGGCAAAATATAGCTACCTTCTTTACCAGAATATCACAAGAATGATTTCTAGGCAACACACTAAAATTCTT